GTTTAAATAGTTAATATTATAATATAATATTACGATAAGATTTTACTATTTACAATTCAATGCTCTATTTTGAAATTTTGACGTCGTTCATTGTTTTATTCCAAGCTAGCTGGGAGATAAATATAATTTTTCTTCAAATCTAGACTTTTCCTTGGAGTTGAATTAAATTAGGGAAAATTTTGTTGGCAATAAAAACGAAGAAACAAATAATAAATAAATATTTAAAACAGCAACTTTTTATGCAGATTTCAAGTGATAAAAAGAGAAGTCATAGAAATACTTACCTTTGAAGTTAAAAAAATTTAATTTTCTAAATTCAATTTCACAAAGTTAATTTATATTTTTAAAGAAACGTGAATTTCTATTTCCTTAGAAGTGCATAAAACTTAAATGAACCTTCATAAATTCTGCAGGCATAAAGCAAAGAGTTTGTTTTGGAAGTTCTTAAGAAAATGTACTAAAGATACGATATTCTATGACTTCAAAAGCGAGAAGATAAATATGTTTTGTATTATATTTAATTTTGCATTTCTAAAGTTTTGTAAAATATTAAAATTTGGTAAAATTTTAAAATTAAAAAAAAAACAAACAGTAGTTTGTTTAAGAATTAAAGATATTTTTAAATGTTTTAATTCAATTTGTTTTTTTTAAAACTAAATAAAGTTATTATGCTTTATATGTATTTTAATTATTTCATTATGTTTCTATAAGTATTTTAAATTATTTTTGTGATACATTTAATTTTTAAATTGATGAGCAAAAATTAAAAACATACATTTTTAAAGTAGTAAGTCATGCATTATATGTAATAATACTGTACTATGAATTACATGTAGTAATAATACTCACAGCAAAATTTAAAAATTTTAGTAAACTGGGCCCTTATTTGAAAATAGATTTAAATTAAATGTTTTTTACTTATGTTAACCTAACATTTAAAAAAATGCAATTTTTAATAAAAATAAATAAAAAACACCCATGTATAATCCCAGAATGAACAATAAAAACAAGTACATTTCATAATATTGTCTTTAAGGTATTTGAATAACCTAATCAACTTAGAGAAGATTTTCGCAGATCGATACATTTTCATCTTCTTAAACAGTAATTTGTTAGGTAAAATATGCATAAAAATTATTAAATAGGGAAGTCAATAACAATTAAGAAATGTATCATTATGGCAGGTCAATTATGGCATGTACCGATTATGGCACGTATACTAGGACGGTACTGAATGACCCGTATTTCGAATTCATTTTCAAAAATTAGCGAAACATTAAGACAAAAAACTATACACACTGAGGGTATTAAGTCAATGTTTTAGCGAAAGTGGAACGGAAACGGTATCGAATTACTACAGAAATACGTTGAATAAGAATATCAAAACCCATTTGATTGCCTTATGAAGTGTGAATAGTTTTTTTTAACAATCATCTATCAAATTCTTTCTAGTTCCTTTGTCAATGAAACACATTTTGATATTTACAGTTCCATCTTCGTCAGTGAAAAATAGTTAAATTTTGATAGTTTCTTTTCTTGACCGCCTAACTATAATTTTTTTGACTTAAACTGAAAAAATACATTTTTAGAGCAGTCATTATAAGACACCCGATTTATTTCATATAATTTAACTGAACTTTATTCACTAGATGAACTAATCTGTATTTTACGCAAATTGGCTATGCTTTGCCTTTGGTCAAAAATATCCAGTATCATCTAGGATAATAAAAATTTCGTTCTAATAATTTTTAGCTCTTACCAATTTAATTTGTAGTAGTAATATTTTTATTCTAATTACGTTTCAGTAATTTTTATTTCCAATCTTACATAGTTTTTAATTTGACAAATATTTATGTAACTAATTATTTCTGTTACCATCAATAAATAGAATGATTTGATTATATAGAATGCTTAGCCCTTATATAGAATAACGAGTGTTTTTAGCAAGTAAGAAATATGAAAATCATAATGTACTTTGCCTAGTCATTGTATAGAAACCCGTAAATTAGACATTATGTAGAATTTTAAAGCAATGTATGATAGATTAATAACATCATTATTATAATTAATTATTCTATTGAATACAACCGAAAGTGTGATATTAATCACTTCTTATTGAGCCACTGTTGTTTAAAGAATAAAGAATTTCCAATGGGGTGATCCAAGTTGACTGGTCGATACAAAATCTGCTCATGGGTTATGAGTTAGAATTAGTTAACAGTAAGGCTAACTGTAGGATCGCTTCGTGGTTTTCCTGTAACTGTAACGCAAATAGAGAGCTAGTTCCATCGAAAAGTCCTCCATTAAGGCTAGTTTTTCCTAATGAATGCATGAGTTCTTTTGACTCCTTGGTAGAGTTCCAAATAACGAAGCTACCGAGTTGAATATTGATCGCATAACAAAAAATGGTTATGATGTTCAATGCTAGTTATAAAATAAAATCACTTCATACTGCTCGGCTTATATTTACGTATTTCATTTAAAGACTATGTATAATATAAATAGAACCATTAAAATGTGTTTTCTTAAAATATATTTTCTTTCTATGCTTCTATACCAACTTTAGTTTAATTACGTACACAACTTTTACAAATACTATAGTTTTTAAATTATAAGTCTATATATACACTATAAAATATCTATATTAATAATTTTAAAGCAGTTTTTCATTTGTGAATGGAAGCAATGTTGAAGATAACATAATAGTCGATAATATCCCCCCCATTGCGAAATTAACTACTAACATTTCCTCTTAAAACGATATTCTGTCATCAAAATAGCCATAAACTTAATGTTTTCGCGTTATATAGTTATTTTCGACCACAAAACGCGTTCAGCGGTATCGGATTCCATTGTTTCGTTACATAATTGCTTGGAAATACGCCATTCAGAAAGAAACCTCTTCTATTGCCAGATTGTTTAATTAAATTATTTCTGATTTGTTCTCCATTAAATCTTGAACTTCAGACTGTGGCTTCAAAAATTATCTTTAATAAAAATATGAGACAAAGAGTATCACGGGATGCTGTTTATGTAGAATTTGTTTAATTTCTTTAATAAAATGCATTTACATTTAGTACTATTTGTTTTTAAGACACGAGGTAATGTTGTTTGGTAAAACGTACACGTTCCATCGAAATCAAAGACGACAGCTTTTTTTGTTCCTGCTATATTTATATATTTTTCTAGGTTGATTTTTTAATGAACTAGCAGGCTCTACTCCCTGCTCACTCCACTCACCAACCCCCACATTTGCCTTCATTAATTTTTTTTTTCGTCTTAAAAGTCACTAAAAAAGATAAATTTCTTATAAAATAAAAATTTATTATAATTTTATATAAATTTTTTTGTTAATATCACGAAATAAACGCTCCTTTGCTAATTATAACGAAACAAACGTATACCTAGATTTGAAAAATATTTAACTTCTTCTTCTTCTTAGGCACTACAGCTGGTTACCGGCCAAGGCCGTCTTAGTCATTTTGCCCCATCTAGATCTATGCTATGCTATGTTTCTCCATCTATTAACTCCCAAGTCTTTTAACTACTTCTCTGTTCTATCTAACCATCTTGTTCTAAATAATACAAAGTTAAAGTAGTTATAAAATAGCATCATGAAAATAGTTAACAGTACTTAAAAATAAATAAAATAAATGAATAAACTTAGGAATTGAGAATGTATGGCATAATAATAAATAAAAATAATTGATGAAAAGTGATTTTGCTTGCTAACAGCATATGAGGATAATCTTACATCATATAACAGCTCAAATTGGAAACAGTTTTTATCTTTCTTATTACTTTCACATTTTAAAAAAAAAATTAATCCAAATGTTAAGACTTACATCTGGCAACATCTAATCTCTATCTCTCATCTTTTTTTAAATTATATTTATTCATTTTTTTTTAAACTTTTGACCTAAAGTTAAGCATGGGTTAATATAATGAAAATATCGAGAGAGTGGCTGGCAGAATTCGACTGTCAGGCAATTTTAAACCGCCATTTGTCATATTGGTCACCCATTGACCAGTGGCAACCATCAATTTTGCCCTATACAGATAGTTTTCTCCTGACAGCAAGTCAGTATTATCACTCGTTATATCAAATATTATTTTCTTAATAATCGGCCATCATAGCAATGGTTTCTATTGCAAAAAAAAAAACAAAAAACGAAATGAAATTTAGATTCGCTCACAGTAGACTGACTGACTTAGTCTCAGTACCTAGATGAATATCCTTTATAACACAGCCTGTGCTCTTTAGTACGATCCCCTATTAGTACGACCCTCTCATTATAACATGGAGTTCTGTTGGCGATTCCAGAGACGCGATGAATTCGAATTTCCAATTCGAAAGGCTGAGCTGAACCATCCGTTTCAATATAGCGACCACATTTTTTTTAAATGTTTTGTTTAATTCCCAGAAAATCTTTTAAAAAACAGGGGTTCGATATTTTTGCAATTTTAAAACTAAATGTACAACGACAACGAGTTCATTGACAACAATAATCTATTGTCTTCTAATTTTATGCCATCACGACGTAGAGACCTTTCGTGACAGCGTCCGCTTTCGCTTGAACCACAGTGTGCGNGCCCTGGAGAGTGGCTGGCAGAATTCGACTGTCAGGCAATTTTAAACCGCCAATTGTCATATTGGTCACCCATTGACCAGTGGCAACCATCAATTTTGCCCTATACAGATAGTTTTCTCCTGACAGCAAGTCATTCCCAAAAAATCTTTTAAAAAACAGGGGTTCGATATTTTTGCAATTTTAAAACTAAATGGACAACGACAACGAGTTCATTGACAACAATAATCTATTGTCTTCTAATTTTATGCCATCACGACGTAGAGACCTTTCGTGACAGCGTCCAGTTTCGCTTGAACCACAGTGTGCGTTACACCGGAAGTTAAATGTATAAACATAAATAATGTAGAATATTTAAATATATCTTTATTTGAATCAGTCAAGCATACTAAATTAATAATGTTCTATTAGAGGTGCAAAGAAATATTGGACACTTTGGCCATATCTGTGATGAATCAATGGCCAGGAGTGAGATTGAGGGTGACAGAAGGATTCGACGAAGAAGGACATCATTCTCCTAATTCTCTACACTACAGTGGCAGGGCTGTAGACATTACAACGAGTGACAGGGATCGTTCTAAATATGGCATGCTGGCCAGATTGGCTGTTGAAGCGGGATTTAATTGGGTTTATTATGAATCCAGAGGACACATACACTGCTCTGTCAGATCAGGTAAATATATTACAGTATTAGAAATTATTTCTTATGCCGATAAAAAGCATATTTCATTTCTTAAGTGAATAGATATGGGGCACAGATTTTGCCTCATTTATCAAAAAAAAAAATTGTAACAGGTGTATTCGCTGTCTTGTCTGCGTTTATATTACCGCTGACATGTGGTAGTAGTAATAGTAGTTCATTTACGTCACACTAGAGCTGCACAATGGGCTATTGGCAACTGTCAGGGAAACACTCCTGAGGATGATCCGAAGACATGCCATCGCAATTTTGATCCTCTGCAGAGGGGATGGCACCCCCGCTTCGGTAGCCCGACAACCTGCACGCGAGGTGGAGCACTTTAGGGTAGAACAGTTTAACGAGGACCAATACCGCACACCCACGGTTCCTACGCAGACTGATCCAAGTGGTCACCCACCCGCACACTGACCGAAGCCGCTTGACTTCGGTGATCTGCTGGGAATCGTGTCTTAAGGATCAGTCCACTGCGGACAAACACTCGGGGACCTCGGTGAACAAACTCGGTGATCTGCTAAAAAGTGCAAATCAGTTATTCTGCAGAATAATGTGCAGATCACTTTGGAGCTTTAACGTCACAAATTGCATTAACAAATCGCTTTAGTCAGGGGAATCCATTAAAGTGCCAAGAAAGTGTTTCGTTTTTCAAATCACCTACGTAATCTGAAAACTACCTAGGTAATTGACACATGGCCTACTAGGCACTCAGTAAAGTGAAAACTAGATCTTTTCTGAAACAGCAATGGTTCCGTACGCTTAAATAAACATAATGCTATTCATTTATTTTTTGCCCTCTAAAACTACAAGTTACTACAATTAAACAATCAACACATTAGTTGATAGTAGCAATCATCAATCTCTTTAAATACTATTATACAAACTTACAAGTTCAAAAAATAATTAAAACTATAATCAAATAGTTAAAATATTATTACACACAAGGAAATTAATATAATGTCATTTATTCATAATTTCTGCCATTGATACGCAGGTTTGATGTAAACATCACTTTTTGACATAACTATGGAGGGAGATTTAGTCATTGCAACTCATCGACACAACCTGTTGAGATAAAATCTTTGCATCTTTAAGGTAGCTTAGGTGTAACTTAATGTCGCTTTTGATCAGAGTTAAGCTGAGTTGAATGCAAGGTATCAGGGCACAAGCACTGAAATCAGCTACGCTGAAAAAGCCATGAGCAATCTTATGTATCCTGGATAAGCAGATCAAGCAATGCTAAAAAATATAACAAAAAAAGTCGATACGCCAGTGGGCAAATCATTTATGTACCCAAAGAAGAAAAAGCATTCAAAATAAGACATCATATTGTTTCTTTCTGATATTACATTGAAAAAATACCAAATTTTTTGTATGGAAAGGAAGTTGTTCTAAATTTGTTTGGTTTGGTCGGAATAAAAGTAAAATATTTGAATTCTATCAGTTTTATTTAACTGAGGTATTGTAACAGATTCATGTAAATATTAATTGTGATTTAGAGTTCGTATTCTGTTGTATACTTGTATTGACAATTGATTCAAAACGATAAATTTTAATAAATAGTTCTTAAGAGATATTAATAAAAAATTGTTCTATACAAAATAAATTGTTATAAAGTCTTGAAAAAGTAATTTGAAACACTTTGCTTAAAGTATAACTTTATTTTCGACTATTTTGATATCGGTTAAAAAACTTTCAAAATTTTGATTTAAGATACATCATAACCAGGAACTCCTGTCAACCAGGCTATCCCCTCCCACCAAGTCTTTAATGCAATATTTTTATGAAATTCCTTTTCATTGTATTTCAGATTCTGATGGAGCTAGCAGAGGTAATGGTTGTTTCCATAGCAGCTCAACAGTTACTACCAGAAATGGAATTAAGTTATTAAAAGATGTGGAAATTGGTGATGAAGTAGCTTCTAGGTTTTCGCCAGAAGGATCTCTGATTTACAGCACTGTCATAAACTTTTTGCATAGGGATTATGAATTAAAAACTGATTTTATTCGTGTAAGGACTAATTCCAACAATACTCTATTATTAACACCAAATCATTTAATTTTTCGGTATTCAAAGCAATTAGTAGAAGCTGTTTTAGCTAGTGATATTAATCCTGGTGATTTACTGTTGATAAAGCTTGACAATAATTTAACTGCATTGTCAGCTGTATTAGACTTGACAATATTTTCTTTGACTGGTGTTCATGCGCCTGTTACAGAAGATGGAACAATAATAGTGAATGACATTTATGTATCATGCTACGCTACTGTAAGAAGCCACACAGTAGCTCACCTGACAATGCTACCTTTAAGAATTAACTTTCTTTTAAAAAGAAAGGGATTAGAGTTGGGTAGAATATTGAAAATTCCAAAATCATTATTGAAATATCTTTACTGTCAATGTATAAAATGTGAAGATACTTCATCTGTAAATAGAGTTCTTAACTCAACAAAATCTTTCAAGACTTCTTTTAAAGGAGTTCATTGGTATGCCAAATTATTGTATTTCATAACTCTTTCATTTTTGCCGAAATTGAAATAAATTTTTATAAGTTGTTCTGGTTTAGTGATTAAAAAAAAGTTTTTTGTTTGTTTAAGTATCAGTAATTTTTGTGTTTTGAAACAATTGACTATTTTGAGAGTTTTTAAGCAACAGTAATACAAATAACAGCAAAAAAAAAAGAACTTAGCAAGCGAATATTTTGTTTCTGGTTCTGCACAATAAATGAATCAGAAAACGGCATCCAACGAATATTAGGAAAAAAAAATCAATTAAGATTTTATATAAAATTAGTATGTTTTTTTTCCAGTCATGTGATAATAATATAACAATCCTATCACATCTACGAAAAATAAGGAAAAATGCATAGATGTATGAATGTATGTATGATCCTCATACAAACAGGCAATTCTGTATTGATTCTCCCCGATTTTGGTGAATATTCGTGTGAAGACATGATGGTTTATACCTATAGCTTGTTTACGGTAAGAACTACCCCCGACACAAAGTCTGAGTCTGTCTGCTGTCATGGAAATAAGAATAGCGCATTTCAGGAACGGTTCTCTTCACTTTAGGGCTAACACAATAAACCAGAGAAAAAGATTACCTTTCTCTCACAGATGCGAGCCAAAATTTGTCCTAAACAACATCTCGCCCCTACTTGAAACAGTTACACCTCGTTACCATAGTTACCGCGACGAGTCCAGACGAATGACTAGGGGAGTTCTTACTTTATACAAACTATACTACTGCCACCATTTCACACGCTACGTTCAGAGTTTTCCTTAGGATTTAGAAAATGTTTCAAAATATTAGTGATTTTTAAGCTTGTATGTTTATTTATTCAAAAATAAGTTTCATTGAGAATAATTTTATAAATTTTATCTTTGGTTACTTATGATGGGTTTGAACAAGTAAGATTAGGATTTAACAAGTAAGATTACAAGTAAGATTAGGTAAGATTAGGATTCAGCAAATTAGGATTTTGTAAAATCAAAAAATCCAGTAATTTATTTTGATGATGCTGCGCTAAACGAGGAGCTAGAAAATTTACCTAACTGCTATTGACGTGCATGGTATTTATGAGTTAATGTGGCAACAAATTCATAAAAATCTTTAAAAAATAATTTTGATTTGGAAGCAATTAAATGTCCTATGATTTCTCAATACAATGATATTTCAAGAACTTAAATTTCAAGTTCAATATGGAACCCCGAAACAAAAACGAAACATCTCGAATGACTTTTGGTCTAATGATCGGGCGTACTAGGACTCAATCTTAAGATTTTCTTACAAACATAAAAAAGTAACAACTGAACCACATGCTTTCATTTTTAAATTTAACTTTTTTTAAATTGAGGAATTAATTTAGATGCATGCTTTCATGAAAAATAATATTTTTTTAAATAAAAAAATACATAAATAATAAAACGAATAAATAATTAAATAAGAAAAACAACGACGTTTTCGATTAATTTAAGAGTTAGAATTGAACCTGATGCAATTAGAAATCTTAAAAACTATTAAATAAAAACAACATGGTTAAACAAAATAACAAGGTAATATCAAATTAAACGTTTCAAATTGCAGTACAATTATAAAAAAAAGAGATAAATTAGAGAATTTACTTATTTCATAAATATGTACTCTATATAAAATGTGTCACTATCGATATATTATAATTATAATTTTATATAATCTTAAAAAGATTTTCCTAATGTGACTTTCCACAAACTTTTTTCTATTTCTAAATTTTAAAATTTAGTCTCAGCTTTTTTCAAAATTAGCAACTCTAATGATTCTAATTAATTAAACCGCTGAAACAAGGTAAATTTTCCATTAGACAAATAATACAGAATTTAAATATTCTTAGGATTATTTATATTTTTCAATCTCGTCTGAATTTTAAGCTACGTTTGAAACGCATGCAACAATTTCTTAGGATTATTTATATTTTTTAATCTCGTCTGAATTTTAAAAAAACGCTTGAAACGCATGCAACAAATAAGTGCTGAAAACTTTGATTAACTAACAATAGATGGCAGCATAAGTAATTTGCAACAGTTTTTGAAATATCTTCTCTCTGTTCAAAAGCTATAAAATAGATGGCAGCACTGTTGATTTAAAATTTAACAGGAGGCACAATCGCAAAAATTGCGAAACCAATTTTCATTTTAATCGGAAAATGTGACCAAACAATAATAATTGAACTAATCGCAAAGGAAAAAAAAATTAAGAAAACTGGGTTAAATAGATAAAGATAGCTCATCGCTATGACGTAAATAGAAATAATATATTTTATTTCAAAATTATTATAATGAGATAGACAAACTCATGTTATATTTTTTAATGCAGCTAAATAAAATTAATTAAAATAAGGCATTTTCTATTAAAAAAAAGTAAAAATGTTTAAGAATTCATAACATGTTTTATTTATTTATTTATCTTTGAGAAGTTCGTCATCACATGAGATAAGATTATTTTATGAATTAAATGCTATTTTTTTGCAGTTATTAACAATTATCTTTATTATTTTTTTTAAAGTTACACAACATGGATATGACAACAAATAACAGTTCAGCGTAATATTACTTTCTGTTCTTTTTGAATTTTTTATTTTGCTCATTAATGTGAAAGTTAATCAAGCGTGAAAAGTAAAACTGGTTATTTATTATTTCTTTTAGGAATTTATCAGGTACTCTTGCTTTAATATAAGAACTTAAAGATTATCCTTCTATAAATAAGGTAATCCATAATAAAATGCAATCCTTATGGAAAATATGGTATTCCATAGTAAATAAATTACATTAAACCGTAGTAGTAATGATATTTTCAACCAGTACCAAGATTTAAATTTACCGATTATGTGATAGAACAGAGTCAATTTCAAGCATTGTTTTAATTCTTTTATTTACTTATCTGTTATTATTATTATTATTTTTCACCATCAATATCCTAGCTAAAAACATTAAGTTTTTTAAACAGAAATCTGAAATTGATTAAGTGATTAAAGGGCAATGCGCCATCATAAAAATTGTATTTAACAATCGAAAACATATTGTATCGACTCAGTAACAATATTTTAAACATGGTTTAAAATCGAGAATAGTAATTTTGGTTCGTAATAAAATTACCAATAAAAAGAATTATCCGAGCATAATCAAGCGAGAAAATAGTTATAGTACATTCATGTAAGTAAATAATTTCTATTTCTTTAGAGACAACTATTGTGGTTAGTAAGAAGTGAAGAAAAGGGGGCTTTGTAAAATTCAGCTAAATAAGATAATAAGATTGTAAAGTTTACCTCAGAACTTTCATCTGGACTCTTTTATTCTCGAAAGTTCTGGGTGAGACACATTAGACATGACTTCATAGCAAATTGTGCATAATTATAGAAGAGTTAGATAGAGTTATCAAATGATAAAGTGCCTAATGACAGTTTTATTAATAATGTCAAGTAAACTGTATTTAATATAGCAAATCTAATTTATAAGGAATAAAATAGCAAAACTATTTAATAAGGAATAAAATAGCAAATCTATTTAATAAGGAATAAAATAGCAAATCAATTTAATAAGGAGTTATCAAATGATTAAGTGCCGAATGACAGTTTTATGAATAATGTCAAGTAAGCTGTATTTAATATAGCAAATCTATTTAATAAAGAATAAAATAGCAAATCTATTTAATAAGAAGTTATCAAATGATTAAGTGCTTAATAACAGTTTTACGAATATTGCCAAGAAAGCTGTGTTTAATATAGCAAATCTATTTAATAAGGAATAAAAAATAAATAAAAATTTCTACGTTTTTAAAAAAAGTTTCAAAATTTAAAAAAATAAGAAATAAGAAGTAAATTACATTAAGCTGTTTAAGTGTTAAAACCTTTAAAAAGTTTGACGTTCAATATTGTTCAATTTTGTTATTGCAATCTATTTTGAAATTAAAAAAAAAGGTATTATGAGTCAATTGTGGGGGTTTAGTGAGTAAATCGAGCGGGAATGAAAATTCTAAAATAAAATGCGATTGAACATGTTAGACTAAGTTACATTTAGAAGGTATGTACATATGTTACGACACATAAATGCTCATCAAGTTTGTCGTTCTCTTAATTAAAATAGTATAAAGTTTCAAAATTTCAAATGAAAACAAATAAATAAATAAAATAAATGAATAAATAAATAAAATAAATGAATAAATAAATAAATAAATAAATAAAATAAATAAAAAAAATTACATTAAGCTGTTTAAGTGTTAAAACCTTTAAAAAGTTTGACGTTCAATATTGTTCAATTTTGTTATTGCAATCTATTTTGAAATTAAAAAAAAGGTATTATGAGTCAATTGTGGGGGTTTAGTGAGTAAATCGAGCGGGAATGAAAATTCTAAAATAAAATGCGATTGAACATGTTAGACTAAGTTACATTTAGAAGGTATGTACATATGTTACGACACATAAATGCTCATCAAGTTTGTCGTTCTCTTAATTAAAATAGTATAAAGTTTCAAAATTTCAAATGAAAACAAATAAATAAATAAAATAAATGAATAAATAAATAAATAAATAAATAAAATAAATAAAAAAAATTACATTAAGCTGTTTAAGTGTTAAAACCTTTAAAAAGTTTGACGTTCAATATTGTTCAATTTTGTTATTGCAATCTATTTTGAAATTAAAAAAAAGGTATTATGAGTCAATTGTGGGGGTTTAGTGAGTAAATCGAGCGGGAATGAAAATTCTAAAATAAAATGCGATTGAACATGTTAGACTAAGTTACATTTAGAAGGTATGTACATATGTTACGACACATAAATGCTCATCAAGTTTGTCGTTCTCTTAATTAAAATAGTATAAAGTTTCAAAATTTCAAATGAAAACAAATAAATAAATAAAATAAATGAATAAATAAATAAATAAATAAATAAATAAAATAAAAAAAATTACATTAAGCTGTTTAAGTGTTAAAACCTTTAAAAAGTTTGACGTTCAATATTGTTCAATTTTGTTATTGCAATCTATTTTGAAATTAAAAAAAAGGTATTATGAGTCAATTGT